AGTTTAAAAGGTAAGTGCCTCCCCTTCACCGAATAAAAAGCTGTCTTTGTGTGGACAATGCACATATTGGGCAACTTGGATACATTTTTCCTTGTTTGTTATAAAAGCACACGATGACCAAGGTCCTTTTATGTTCTGACGTATGACTGGGTTCCAGCTAAATATCATTTCATGGAGTCCAAGGGGTGAGGCGATGGTATTTATAGACATGCTCAGGGCTAGAATTTTGGTTAGCAGCAACATAGCTATGTCCCTATCCGCCCAACACACCCTGCTGGGAAAATGCCCACCTGTATATATAGATCCTGCCACGCTCTTCCTATTAAACACGCATTTCAAGCAAACTTGCTTTTTACCCATCGGTTTTGGAAAAAGATCACATCTACAGCTTCCTCTTAAAGATACAGATATAGAAGAAAAACAGAGGCCACTTTAAGAGCTCATCTAGTTTAGAAGAGCCCTGTCCAGAGGCTGCCCAATATTCCAGTGAAGCCGTTTGGCACTGGCACCTCTTCACTCCACAGCTACCTCCCTTAGAGGCACGCTACGGCAGACAGCCATGCAGGCAACGCTGCTGGATTAATGCTCTGTTGTGGAGATCTTAACCATGTGCACGCCCAGTTGTTTCATATAGCATCACTATGTAAGAGTCCCTATTTTTAAACAAACAGAAAGTGTTTGTCAGGTCACTCTCTACTATTATCCCATCTGTAAACCAATAAACTGAAATGCCACACACTTTAATCCTAAATTCACTGGCTTGAGGGTGCAACAGCAGTATAAAGTGACACGACAAACACTTTCTGTTTGCTTTAAAAAGTGGAAGTTTGACCCACTTTAAACAACAGGATCTCAGGAACTGCCAGAATAATAAAACACAAATGAACGAACCGTTGGAGGGCTTCTTATAATAAACCAAACCTAACTGCCATTACCGCTATAACCCACGCAGATGCCTGGACCACCACGACAAAAGCAGTTACCATAGGTTGGTTCACAGTCCAAAGACCCCACTTGCCTGCCACACACAGAAATTGGGGATTTAAAAGGCAACTTCCTAACACCCACCCATTCACTAAGTGGTCTGGGATGGTGTGGTGAAAGCTAAACAGAAGACTAATGTAGGGAGCCAGTCCTTGGTTTTGCTGCGTGATGCCACACTTCTTGGAAGCCTTATTTCTTAACTTCAAGCTCTTTAATACTATTTTTCAGTGCTGCTTCCCTCATCCTTCCACATCCCCTAAACTGCTGCACCAAATACCTTGCACAGATTTACTTTGGCAGGAACTTCAAACAACACTGCTGAAGTCACTGCTTGGCATACAGCAACTCTTTTGTAGTCTGCATGGGTCTGAACCGAGACTTACTGAAATCTATGTACAGGATGTATAGCTACAGAAATCTCATTACTTCTTGGGTTTTAATTTTTTTTTTTTTTTTTTTTTTTGCATACAGTCACCTAAATGTGACAGCTGCAATGGTACATAACTAGGAAAGGTGACTGAAAGTGTTGCTGGGAGCATACCTTACTGCAAACATATGGCAGTTATCTTTGCATATATTCTAAGGCTTGTCAACATCTCCAAACATAGCATTTTCCATGTAAAAATCTAAAAAGGAAGATAATCTCCCCAAACTCAGATAAAATAACAAGACAGGTGCTTCACATGGCAGGCCGTAAAACAAACAAACAAAAAGATTTTAAATACTTTTCAGAGTACACAGCTGCACTGTAAATTCACCAACACTGAACACTAATGCTGTGAACACTAACGGGTTTTCAAAACACACTCAACAATTCCAAAGAAGCCCGTCCATCAGCAGCTCTTACACACAACTGGAACTGCCAGCCCAAAGTCCTCGCAGAGCGGGGACTGCTGGAAGACTGCACCAGGACAGCGACAGCACTGCAGGTAGGCAGCCCCATCAGAGGACAGACGCTGAGCTAGACAGAGCTCTGGTCTCCCCAAGAGCAACTGATCTTGTTCAGCTCACAAAGCTAAAGAAGACACTGACCTGTCAATAAATCGGAGTTGAAGTAGACTACTACCAGTAGAAGACATGGTCTTAAAGTTACTGACTGCTCATCCATTACACACCGCCTCTTCTCTGAGCATCCTGCAATAATACGGCCTGAACAGTATTTCCAATTGCCAAAAGTACCTTTCTAGATTCCAGTACACCCAAAATGTGCTTGCATACATATAGTTGCATATATTTTATATAGCGCAAGGATAAGCCAATAGCATAGCAATATGTGTTTGCAAGTGCCTATGAAATCCCTTTGCAATTAGATGCCTGCTTAAACAGAGGCAACAAGGAAATAAGTAACAACAATTAAGAACAAAAAAAAACTTTCCAGAATATTTTTTGAATGATTATAAAAAATAAAGTGCTGTTCTATCATCTTCTGCAGAAAGATGGAGGAGAAACATTAAGGTCTTCCTTACCTTTCCCTGAACAAGAGACAGATTGGAAGGGCTCAAGTTCCACATCAACATAAAAGGCCTCCAGCCATCTGCCTGACATGAGTCAGTTATTCCTTCTTGCCCCCAAACGCCTCACGTTGGTGCACACCGTCATACTGATGGGCATATGTCACACTGCAGTATTTTTGGAGTGAGGTGCACTTCCACGGCACCAGAGCCCACACGAGATGGCTGCGACCACAGACAGGTCCCCAGCTAGACCCTGCACAGACAGACTCAGACAAGCAGTCCTTGCTGTAACACGGATAAACACCTCCCTCCTCTCCAGCTTCTTCCCTCACATCACAGGCTTCCCTCTCCTGCCCCCCAGCTCTCAGCCCCGCCGGCACGGTCTCACCTTCGCTGTGCCGGCATTGCTGATGCCTACGTCACACAGCCCATCCCACCCCAGCCATGCCCCATCGCCTCCTCTCTGAGTAGATTCAGGGAGACGAGCCTTAAAATCTCTCCTGCCGCAACGCTGCTTCCACGACAACAAGGAGAAACAGCCAACTAATAATGGACTGGTTGAGGGGCTTGCCAGCTTCAGCAAACACGTCTGGAATGACTTTTTTCTTCTAAAGCTTCCAGTTGAGTGTTGGTCATCTTGGACGCAACACCTGTGCTGCAACAAGCAGAGCCCACGCAGCACCCCAGGCTGGGCACAAAGACATTTGCTCATCAACTAAATGAGGCTGCAAGCAACTTTGCCCATGCACGCGGGCTGTGCCTAATGCACTGCAGAAGCCCCTGGAATACAGACAATCAATAGTAAGCACATTATAATACTGAGAAGCTTACCGAGATATATTTACTATGTCTATGTGTCCATCCCTTGAGTTTTGGTCAAATATTTGTAATGCGCTACCTGCAGCACCTCTCTCAGCTGCTGTCAACCTAACCCATGATGTTATAAATATCATTTGTTTACCTGAAGTTGAATGATCGTTTCAACTTTGTTAATCTGATTGCATAACAACCTATAGCAGCCTTAAGTAACTAGGCTGCAGTCTCCAGGACAGATTAGTTGAAATCACTCGTTTCAGCACCCTGCTTTTTGGAAAAAACAAAACCCAAAGTGAAATAGATAATGCAGAAAGAAGAAAATCCAAGCACCTGGCTTCTGCTCTTGGAGCTGGCTACAGCATGAGATGTATCACAGCGTGCAGATGTGGTGTAATAGCTTCACACCTGGTCCACGCTGCTAGCACAAGCTAATGTGAAAGGTCTGCAACCAGAACACAACATTGCGCAATTAAAGTGCACTCTGTCATGTCTTATTCACAGCTATCGCATACGCTATTAGGCAAACTACACTGCATGTATACAGCGGATTTCCAAAACAAGCGATCGCATGTGTACAAACAAAGGGCATCATTTCCATGGCGGGTCCCACAAAAGCCTCTCTGCTGCCTAGACTGGAGATCTCCAGTCAGCAGTGCCAAGCTGGCCCTGCCCTCCCTAGGCCTTGTACCCCTCTGGAAACACCCACAGACAAGGCACCTCCCGAGACAGAGTAACCTTTAAAGGTTCTGTAGATGACGGGAAGATCTCTAGTTGCGTTTTATTACATTACCACCAAGCCTTACACAAACCCAGCCGCCCCATTATACAACGCGAGGGCTAACGTAAGGTTAAGGAGCATCAGTGCCAACGTGCTCAGCTTGCACTGAAGGGCACAAACCTCCGGCCCCTGTATGTGGCGGACATTCAGAAACCTGCTGGTTAAACCTGCTGGTTAGCAAGTTCAGAAAGCAACACCCAGCCGCACGGATCGCTCCCAGCAGGCTGGGGCCAGGAGCCTTGCACCAGGAACCAAGCAAACGGGGCACGGGGATGGCAAAGGCTGGGCGGAAGGGAAAGCGAAGAGGGCAAGGGGCGCGTTTGGGCACCTCGCTTCCCACCAGCCCCGAGGAACCAAGAGCCAGCACGCACAAAACCCACCCGCAGGCCTCACCCGCAGGCCCCCTCACCCCGCCGGGCGGCGGCCCTGCCCCGCGGCCCCCCACGGCCCCGGCCGCCCCAGGGGCACGGGGGGCCGGCAGGGCAGGGCCGGGGCGAGCGGGGGGCGAGCGGGGAGTCGCCGCCCCCGGGCTCAGCCGCACCGCCAGCCTGACACCTACCGGGCAGCGGCGGGCGTGCCGCCCGGCTCCGGCCGCCCGGCGCTAGCCCCTTCAAAGAGAACGTGGCGTTTCTTTTTTTTTTTTTTTTTTTTTTTTTGACACGAGAAACGCGCTGCACCCCCCGCCGGGAAGCCCTGCGGGCTGAGAGGCTGCAGGGAGGGCCCCAGCCCCGCTCCGTGCCCGGCGCCGCTGCCCGCACAAAGCCCGGCCGCGAATAAAGGCTCGCCCGCAGAGCCTGGGCGGCCGGCCCCCGGCGGAACGAGGCGAGCCGAGCCCCACGGCACGGGCACGGCACGGACACGGCTCCCGCCCCGGGGGGCGACGCCGGGCCCCGCTCCCGGCAGCCCAGGCCCGGGCCTCCGCCGGGGAAGCGGCGCCCCCCTCCCGCGGCCGCCCCGGGGGCGCTCACCTCAGGCGCCGCCGCCGCCCCGCAGCGGCTCCCCCGCCGCCGAGAGCCGTCAGCGGGCGCCGGCCGCGGGCTGCAGAAGGACGGGGAGGCGCGGGGCGAAGAGGGCGGCTCCGGCGAAGCGTGCGAGCGCGAAGGCGGCGGCAGCCGGGCGCGGAGCGGCCTCTCCGGGCAGCCGGGGCGGGCCGAGGCGGGGCCGGGGCGGTGCGGAGCAGAGCGGGGGGCGGATGGAGCCGAGGAGGAGCCGCCCGCCCGCTCCTCCCGCCGCCGGGGCCGGCCCCCGGCCCCCCCGGGTGACGCCGGCTCCAGGAGCGGCCAGCCCTGCTCTGCCCAGCCCAGCCCTGCCCAGCCCTGCCCTGCGCCGGCCGCTCGCGGTTGCCCTCGAGGCTCCGAGGAGGAGCCGGGGCCGCGGCTCCCTCCTGCCCGGCACCGCCGCCTGTTCCCCCCCCACGCCCCGAGGCTGCGTTGCGGGCGAGCCGCGGTGCTGGCGGCAGCCTCCCACCGGCACCGTGCTGCGTTGGGGGCCCCGCGGGGCTCTGGCGGAGGTGAAGGCGGCGACCCGCACCTCGGGACTGGCGACATTAAGGGCAGAGGGGTAGCGGGGCGCAAGGCCTCCCGCGGCCGCACCGCCTCCTGCAGCGCCTCACATGCCCCCCAAAATGCCAAGTGTCGATTTGTCGCGCCTCGGCGAAAATCCCTGACTCGGAGTTGTCCCAACTCTGCTGGGCTGAGAAAGGCAGATGCGGGAGCGTAACCTGTCCTCCCAGTTCCGCTGGTAAGCTCCCAGCAGGGCGGCAATGCCTGAATGTGCTGAGTAGGGTCGGACCGGGCCCTGACTCACACAGGCTGCACGGGCTGGGGCTCCGCGCTTCGTGCTTTTAAAAGTAATGAGAATTTGTGCGTGGGCTGTCGCTACAGAAGTGCTGAACCGGCGGTGACCTGGCCTCACCTTCTGCCCTGGCAGAGGGGAGCTGGAGGGCCGATGGCCGTCTCTCTGATGTTGGGTAAGGACACACCAAGGCCACGTAAATATGCAGAAATACGTCCCCGTTTCTGCTTAAATAGAGGCAACTTGGCTAGACTGGGCAAAGATTTCTCAGTAAGGCTGAACCCTGGGAATCCTTTCCCACCCCTCTAAGCTCAAGTCCTTTTGGCTTTAAGTTTAAACCCCATTCTCTTCTGCGACTGTATCCCCGCCATTCTTTCCTCCTTATTTTGTAGGATTAACGATAACATTAGCTAAATATCTCATTACACTTTCTCTACTTCGTGCTATGGCTTTGAGACATTTCTGTGTAGCTTCCTGCCTCCAAAGATCTCACAAATAAATCACCTGGTGATGGGTATTCCTGACATTGCGTAAGAGTACGGGCTTGTTTGCAGAAGTACCCAAACCCAAAGGCTTATGAATGCTGCACAGACTCGTTGTCTGCTCTGTCTTGGCTATATAGTACTTTTGAAACAGATGCATCACACTTAAGGTTCCGAAGATGTTTAAAATAAGAACATGTCCTTAATTAAAGTGAAGAGCCTCATAAGGGCCCATTTAACAGTAGTAAGTTAGTATTAAAAATACCCCCTTTCTAATGCTTTGTTTCAAACACAAATAATCAGACAGGGAAATGTAAAGTACTTGTGTCATTTTTATAGTCATTTTGAAAATCCTTTAAAAATTTTCCCCACTAGCCAGTTTGTTCTGTTCCATTGACTGTTAAAATACAATTACAGTTATTATCTACTTTCTGCTTTTTAATTACTTCACTGAAATCTTGTTTGCACACCGGGGGTGGCAGTCATGCAGTGATAGGACTTTATCAGGTCAAGCTGTCGTTACATGCTCTCTGATTCTATGTGCAGTATTTGTGTGAGCAGTTCAATACTTGGTGTCTGTGAGCGAAAGGGCAGGGATTTGTTTCATTCTCACTCCTCGACCTAAAAGTCTTGTGACAGAGAAGAAACCTCTGTGGGTGGACTTATCAGCATGCTCTGGAGAACGTCCCAGCACCCAGAGCATCTCAGGGCAGGAGTCTAAGTGTGTTGGGGTAAGAATACACCAGACATCTAGGTAGGGTAAGAGATGCAGAAACCGACTCCTCTGCCTTCGGTGTCCTTCTCCCGCTCAGCAATGGGGCAGCAGAGTGGTTCTCTACCTTATTGTGATTTTTTTCCCCCGAAATTCAATCCTTTTTAGCTTTATTGCAACATGTACTCAAAATTTCACAGGCAAAACCTTTTTTGTATCCACAGAAGCAGTCTGTGGGTATGGAGGCATAGTTTTTCATGAAAATGACTGTTGACTGAAAAAATGGAGGCTGGGGTGAGGCTTGTGTAGCTTTTTCAGTTTTTTTTTTTTTTTGCCAACAAGTGCTACCATGTGAACTAGAAAGACTTTAGTAAGCATACTTTTTCTTATCATTTACAGTTTTAGCATCTTCCAGTAAACCAGGCAGAGATGTTTATATCTAAGGACATTTCTCTTTCACCATTATGAAAATGTTAAGATAAATAACAGTTTGTTTGCCAAATCATTGGCAAGATCCCATTTGCAGTCACTGCTACCTTCCTCTTTCTAGCAATCTAATTATTTTTCTCAGAATTGTAAATCACTAGGAGAAAGGTGGACATAAGCAACATCAAGAGATTCCAGAAGAGGGAATATTTTCAACTCTAGGTTGACAAGTTTGAAGTTGGCCAACTGAGCTTTTTACCCTGTTTGCTACAGAGTGCCTGATAGTGTTTCCTAAGACACATGGAGCTTTCACAGTGAAAAATACATGATTGCTATGCTGCTGTAACTGTGATTCCAATAAAAATGACCAAAAAAGAGCAGCATAAAGCAAACATATTTTGTTTAGCTTCCATGAACAAACCTCTCTGATGTTTTCCTTGTGATGCATGCTGCTAGTTAGCGTTCATAATGGAATTACTTACATGTATATGTACTTCCCCATGCACAAATTTGTCGATCAACTCTTTGTATACTGCTGTAGTACAGTCAATGTTACTCGTAAAAGAAGAAAATACTTATTTCCCTGTTTTCTCATGCTTGATTTACTCATTTTTTGAGACAGCATACTGGGCAGTTGTTTTTGGAAGCTGGAAGATGATAAGTAGTGTAAACAATTTCTGACATCCAGAACATATTTGGTACTAAGTGTCTGCTGAACCTGATTCTCTGCCCCTGCCTAGTGGTGCCTGAACCCGATTATTAGCACATTGCCCTGAGAACAAATTATGATTTTAATATAAAAACCAAGGGCAGGGGGTTGTTTCTGCAAGAAGACAACAGCTTTCATCTTGAAAGAAAAGGAAACCAGCTTTCTCAATTCGGTGCTCCTGGTGCTGTGGGAATGAAATGACTTCGAGTGCAGTATCCAGGGACTTAAAGGGTTGCCAGAGATAAAATTTGCAAAGACAAAACTCTTTCCAGCCTTTTCTGGCCAGAAGATTAATGTAAGAAAAAGTAAAAAACAAAAACAACAACAAAAAAAAAACCTTGCAAGACACTCAAAAATCTTTGAAAGGAGAAGAACGAGGGTAGAAATCAATACCAAGAGAGTCGGTAGCTCCAGACTACAACTGATCGTCTTCTTTTGAAAGAAGCTCCAACTCCAGGCTAAATTCTCCCATGCTAGATTTTAGAATCCTTTCTTCTCTAAGATAATAGCTTGTGTTCCACTGAAATCAATAGGTTTGTAATCGGGAAGCTGTTACCAAGTGAGGCTGCGTCTGACGTAAGTGGGAGGTTTGTTCATATTGACCCTGACACAGCAATGAGCTAGCTGGAGCAGACAGGGACGTGTGTAATTTAATTCCCAACAAAGTCAGCAGCCTTTAAAGTTGTGCACAAGGTGGTGAATTGGTGTCTCAGATTGAAAATTTACACTATGATAGATTATTTATTGGCTCGATCGACATGTTTTTTCTATTCTGATAAATCTGCTTTAGTAGAGTATGGTTTTTCCCCTGGCTGCTATGTATTATCTCCAGTGTGGATCCAGTTGTGGCAGGATTGTGTGCCTGTTTTCTTATGCTCATACTCACATTATAGCATGCTTACATTCACTAAAGAGCATTTTCAGTACACTGTCACTAAGTATGTAGGGAGATTTAAAAGTGTTGCAGCTGGTATATGTGCTGAACAAGCCTCAAAGATGTAAAATGTAAAAGGGAGTGTTGGAAAAGGCAAGAGGGTAATTAAAGCGGTGGCTTAGAAACACCGCTTTAGGCCATTTATAGAAAAAAAAAAAAGTATTTGGCATCGAAGTGTCAGTATTTCCTGATACTTTAATGAAGCTCTATATTTCAGAAACAGGAAAAATTAGAGAAGTCATGGCCCAGCTTACAGATAAATAGGTGAAATTGCTACACAATTTTCCCAGTCAATGCTAGTTGAGAGGAAAACTAAAATGTGTGTAAATTGTTGTTGGGCTTAAAGGTTCTAACCAATAGGTGTCTAGAACCTGCCTGGGAGATGCTAATGTAAACCTCAACAACAGCACGTTCATTTTCCCTTTAAGAATAATAGTTCCAAAACATGGAACTCTTACCTAAACATGCTGACATTCAAAGGTCTTTGTAAACATAATCTTTAGGGTTGGAAAATACAATTACTGTGAAAGGATTATGACATCCAGGATGATTAAGCCATTCCTCTGTCCCTAAGGACAGGAGGAGAATCAGAGCCAGGCTCGCTTGGATGAGATTGCTGGTGCTGCTTGATAATGAAGAGAGGACAGAAATGCACAGGCTATCTAGATTTAGTCTCCTTTCATGGATTTTCCATGCCCTGTAAAATTTACAGATGTCACTTACAAAAATTTGTACTTGCTGAAGTGAGTTTGATGCTGTAAATCAAGGAGCTGCACTTTGAGCTGTTCTGCTGCTTGACAAGCAATACAGGAACAGATGCGTGAACTCCCCGGCTTCTTTTTAATGGTGCATTAACATCAAAGTCTAGCTTTACATATTTAAATGATTACAAATTAGCGCATGTTTGTTTTGCACAATCTGGCCCTGCTCATTGCATTCACTGTTGTTATTAAAATGGAAAAAGTGTTAATCTGCTATAAAGAAAAAAAAAATGGATTGCAAATTCTCAGCATATTAGAGAATGCATTTTAAGAAATAATTATTTTAGAGTAAATAATGCCCTTGGAAATGTGGATTGCTCTTATTCACCTCACTGGGCAGTACACCTGTTCAGAT